CAGCCGAAAACATTTTTAAATAGGCTCTGCATCAAATAAGCTGTGAGCCACTGTAAGTTAAATGCAATAAATATAAAAGGAGATTAGGAACAATTAGGAATCACATGTTCTCGCACACATACACATACACATACATATACAAAACGTGATATTTTTTATAAAATGTGTTTTTAAATTGTTTATCATCTGCATTCGCAGACAATTGTGTCTTAGTTTGTCTATCAGTAACTTTCTATCTCTCTCGAACACGCTCCCGTTAACCCTCTCTTCATCTTTCTTTCTCTGTCATTCGTTCAATCCTTCTCAATTTCTCTTCGCTCTCCCTTCCACTGTTAACAAAAGTAATATTTTGCCTAATTCTTTTGCCTCTCCTTCTGTAAAATTCAAAAGTCGAAGCAGTTGCAAGTAAAACGGAATATGCGTTTTTAGGAATTCGTTTGCAGTAGATGGCGAAGCTGCGCGCGACTTTTAAATCCAGGGGTGGATCGCCAAAATGTTTTTGTCTTCTGTTAAATGCACTGCCATAAAGCAGTATTGAGCACCCTTGTTTTGTTGCTGAGCAAATAATCGGGTGGTTTGACACAGAAATAAAGGTAAGACAATATTTAATTGTTTTAAATATATTTAATACTCCATTACACCATTACTCATTTTTAGGATAAATACTTTATAAAAAAACATAGGAAAATAGACAAGGAGGCTTGTTATACGCAAAGAATTACAACTTAAAAAACAAATTCAAAAGTGTGGCTTCAGCTGAGGTTAAAGATTGGTCGATTGAAACCAGAGAATTTTTAGAAAACGAAGGTAATTTCACATATATCTCTCTTTTAATTTCAATTGCTTATAATATTTGTATTGTTTTTCAGATGAATGAGAACTAGCAAAACTCTGGCTTCGCTACAATGTTGAGCCCATGAGCGAAGTCCTTGCCAAATGGAGCAGCCTTTACGAAATAAGGCGATATTTTTTTCAATCTTCGGCGACCCTAGACGACATTTTCCTGTAATACCCAATTCTTCGCCAGTCGTTTGGACACGTTTTGGTTAGAGTTACAATTACTGTAATTCGCTTGATAAAAATTAAAATATTTGTATTTTTACAGGTGGAATCAGACTTCGCTCGCTCATTCCCAGGCAAGGATAAACTCCTCGTGGAAAACTGGGGTTATTTTAAAACTAAAATATTTCAAATATTTAATAATAACATATCAAGCAAAAATTGTTGTGCTCTCTTGCAAAAATCGAATTAGGAATCAAGTGGTAAGTCCAAATTTATATATTTATCAAGAAAAAAAGAAAACTTGGGCAAGCCGATAAGTATATGAACTACATTTTGGCTTTTATATTTTCAAAAATAATGAAGATGTCTAAACAAATTTTAAATAACAAACTTTTAAAATATACAATATAAAAAATTTTAATTAACAAAGTTCATTTTTTTTTATTTGAATATTTCTATATAATAATAATATTTTTAATAATATGTTCATTTTTTTTCATAGACGTGAAGGACGAGATTTGCTTTTTGCTACCAGCCCTGTTGCTACCTTTTAATAAAATTATGTGAATATTTAAAAGATGTATGTGTATACTAATAATAATATTTTATAAATAAATACAAAATTATGAAAACTAATTTTTTCAATGGAGTTTGATTTCTTATTCTAAGAAAAATTATTTCTCATTTTGAGAAAAAGTATTTTAAGTTTTAAGAAACATTATATTTTATTTTAAAAAATATTATTTATTATTTGGCAAAAAAAATGTTTTTGTTTGAAGAAAGGAATAACCATTAATTTAAGAAATAAACTTTCATCAAATGAAGGTGACTCGCCTTTAGTAAAAAATTCAATGACGATTTTACTAGATTTCAGGGAGAAATTTCTTTGAGTGCGGGAACAATAAAAATATTCAAAAAACCTTTGTTTTTTAATATAACTTTTTTATTTTGTAATTTTTTTTAAAAATTCTTTTCGACTTTTTAATAATTTGACAGTTCAGAGTTACGCTTTTAATTTTATTAATAACGGAAAACGATTTCATAAAGCTTCCATAGAATATATCGAATAATTGAGCTGCAAATCATCAATGTTTTTAAACATATACGCAAGTAAATTATAATTTTAATGTTTTCAAGAATATTTAATTTTTGCAATAGCTGCAAGGGTATACGAACTTCGGCTTGCCTAAGTTTGCTATCTTTCTTGTTTTTAACTCATTCTGAGAACAACTGTTATCTATTTAAAAATCTTTGTAAATATTTCCTCATTTTGGGCATCTTATATTCAATTTGATTTTTATTACTTAAAATGAGTAAAAATAATTCTCAATATGAGAATATCCCCAATTTGAGTATTCAAATCTTCAATTTCAGAATATTTTTAAGGAAAGTACTTAGTAAAATGGCCTGAAATTTTTTGCACATAACAGGGTAAGCTTTCAACTTTATTTTAATATATTTGTTTTATAAAAATATGGAAATATAACGATACTATGGGCTGACTACAGAGAGTCCACAAAAAAGTATTTCAACTGCTGATATGATTCCGGTCGAATGAGTGGCTGAAGTTACAAAAATTCAAAATGATTATGAAAGCTAAGTATATTTCCCCTATTATATCCTACAATCTTTAAAAATATCAAATATCAACGGTTTGAAAATAAAAGTCGAATATTGGTGTGAAAAAATGACTTTTTAAATTCTGCCAAATGGAAAAATTTCAACCAATCCAAAAGTTTGTAGGGCATTGTAGGTAGTACCCATTCAAAATGATTAATTTCAAAACGGGCGGTTATTTTGTAGGCAAGTTATGATGTCAGCAGTTTTCAAAAATTTAATTTCGAAATAAACGCGGTTAAAATTTCAGGTGCAGCGGTGTATGCCTGCGAGCGGTCTTTTTTAGATCGGACCTTGCCGCTTTCTTAGGATATTTTTAAAATTGTAAACTATTGTTCTTTTCTTGTTAAGCATCACTAGGAGAGTAGATCTAGCCATGTCCGTCTGTCCGTCCGTCCTTCCGTCCGATTGCATGAAACTCTCCCAAAAGGTGTCTTTCTATTGCAAGTAGTATATAAGTCGGAATGAGCCGGATCGGACTACTATAGCATATAGATCCCAAAGGAACAATCGGAAAATAAATGAAAAAATATTATAACTTTGCTGTTTTTTAATTTTTTTTTATTCTTCGACAAATAGTAATGGTTTAACATTTCAGAATTACGGTTTTAATTTTATTAAAATCGGTCGACTGTAACATATAGCTCCTATTAGAATTATCAATATAATAAAAAAAATTTTTAAACAAAATATGACTTTTAAATTTTTTAATTTTTTTTGTTTTATATTCGTTTGTACATAGTAATGGAACATAATAATAATAATAAATTCAAAAATACGCTTTTAATTTTATTAACATCAGAAAACAATGATATATATATGATATAGTCGTTCGATTTTGATGAAATTTAAACCGTAATTCTGAAATATTTAACCATTACTATATGTCGAAGAACTAAACAAAAAATTAAAAAACAGCAAAGTTATCATTTTTTCGCAATTATTTTTCCGATTGTTCCTATGGGAGCTATATGCTATAGTCGTCCGATCCGGCTCGTTCCGACTTATATACTACCTGCAATAGAAAGACAACTTTTGGGAAAGTTTCTTTAAAACTGAGAGACTAGTTTGCGTAGAAACGGACGGACAGACGGACAGACGGACGGACAGACGGACATGGCTAGATCGACTCGCCTAGTGATGCTGATCAAGAATATATATACTTTATAGGGTCGGAGATGTCTCCTTCACTGCGTTGCAAACTTCTGACTGAAATTATAATACCCTCTTCAAGGGTATAAAAAGCAAGCCTTTGAAGTATTGAAATTTAATTGCATTAAATTATAATAATTAAAATATCGGAAATAAATTAAATAAAAGTAATGATTATATTATATATTTGCTAAAATTTGTATTAAACTTATTTATGATCTTTGCCACGATACTTTTGTTCTGTTGACTCCAATTTATTTGATTCCATCAGTATTTCACTCCTAGCAGCTCGAAAGATTGACTGTTTCTCCAACTCTTTCATTTCCCGTCGAAAGGCTTTCACCTCCTCCTTGGCCACAATTGAAAGGACACTGGGTGAGAGACAATCGTCCTTGGAGCCGAACAACTTCCGCACATCGTCGATCTCGAAACCCTTGAGCAGCACCGTCGATTCCATGGTCAGTAGAACCACTGTCACCGCCGAGTGATTGACTTTCTCCACAATCCAAGCCCGCTCATCGCTCACAGCATTGAGCAGTTTCTGGCAGATTGCATCCACCAGGAATTGCAGAGCTCGAAAGACGGGGAACCAAATGACCACCAATAGCACTTGTATTGTTAGACAAAGGAACGCAACCTCAAGGATTTTAGCCACAACACTTTGAATGATATTTAGGTTGTACTTCAATTTCAATTTATGCAGCAAAATTATGGCGAGAATTAAAAAAACAGTTGATTCCGTACTGGCCTCCACCGGATTGTAAAAGAGGCCTGTGCAATGGCAAAATATCGAAAAAAGCAGGGCACTAATAAAAGTGGGTTCCATTTTTTGTTTGTGTAAAAAAATTCAAAAATTTACAAAAGAACCGACAATTTTCCTCACTACTTTGTTGGATTGGTGTAGAATTGTCTATCACTTTTCGAAGCGGATGTGAATTTATAAACTTGGCCAACTTATGTTTGAACTATTCTAATTTACAAATTATATCCATTAATGATGGTAATTTCAAATCAAATCAAATAATATTAAAATAGCCAAAAATACATTTCACAAGCAATTTAAATTATAAACGTATTTTTTACACAATGAACTTTATGCACAAAGGATTAAATTAAGATCCAAATGATTTTTTCATTTACACATTAATGAATTAATTTTAAATATTAATACTAAAATGAAGTTTATTCTTGAACACAGTAAGCTTTGTTTTTTTAGACTTCCACTTTCAAAGCGTTTGAATGCTCTTGGAATTCTCCGCAAAAAAAGAAAATAATTTTATTTTAATTAATTTTTAAAAGTACTTTGCAACATGATGCCGATTTCGCTAAGGAGTAGGCCGATAATGAAACGTGTAAGCTGTTGGGTGTATTAATAGTTCAAATAATATAGAATTAATATATTTATGAATCTTAAGAGGATGAGTATAAGTGGAGCTAGGCCTTTGCCTAACCATGCCATAGAGAAAATCAAGCAGCGCAATTTTCCTGAAAATCTCGATCTGAGTAACCGTAGTACCGATGATGGACTAAGACGTCCAATGGGTGATATGTACGGCTGGAATGGAAACAATTCTGGTGGACAATTGGGTTTGAGTCGCAATGCTCCTCCACCGCCGCAGAATCTCGATTGGAGTTCCTCCGGTCCCAGACGCAATCTCTCTCCCGTTGGCATGTATGATCGCAATTTGTCCACCAACATGATGGGCTATGGAAACTTTGAGAATCAACGGCCCAGAGGTCGTGAATCCAATGAGTTTATTCCAAACTCGTATGCAGGAAGTCGTGAGCCGAGCGTTTTATTCCGAATGATAACTTTTCACAACCAATGGGTTTTCGAAACATTCAGGAAGCAATATTTCGCAACAAACCGTTGATGGGTAATCAACATTCCATGAATATGAGCCGTGAGCCACCTTCGAGATTTGATAATCATCGTGAGTTTACCAATGAACATTTTGGTACCGAAGGACAGCCGTTGGAATATCGCAGAGTTGAGCCAATTCCCAGGACTCAAGAGTTGTTGTCTAAGGTTTTTACAATTGCGGGATTTAAGATGCCCTATGTGAGTGATGTGGTGGGCAAGCTTCCCCAAAAGAAATCAAAGTCCTATGCAGTGCGGTTCTTCAAGAGGTCACCCGACTATGTCATTCGCTCGAAGAAATCCAAGGATGTGCCCATCATTCAGCACTTATACTCATCCTCTTAAGATTCATAAATATATTAATTCTATATTATTTGAACTATTAATACACCCAACAGCTTACACGTTTCATTATCGGCCTACTCCTTAGCGAAATCGGCATCACGTTGCAAAGTACTTTTAAAAATTAATTAAAATTAAATTATTTTTCTTTTTTTGCGGAGAATTCCAAGAGCATTCAAACGCTTTGAAAGTGAATGACTGAATGATGATTGCCAGTAAAATGTTGGAAGTCTAAAAAAACAAAGCTTACTGTGTTCAAGAATAAACTTCATTTTAGTATTAATATTTAAAATTAATTTATTAATGTGTAAATGAAAAAATCATTTGGATCTTAATTTAATCCTTTGTGCATAAAGTTCATTGCGTAAAAAATACGTTTATAATTTAAAACGCTTGTGAAATGTATTTTTGGCACTGTGTCATTTGCCACGAACTGTTTCCGCCACCTGCTCGCAGATGGCGGCAGAAACTGGGTTCAGTTTATGCTACCAGCGCTACATGTCCAAATGAACCCATGTAATGTGTGCCTATTGAAGCCTAAATCTGTTTTGCTGCGACCATGTAATCATGTAAAAATCTCCGGCTTATGTTGGGATAAAATTGTCGAAACTATTTCCTTGAAATATAATGACATTGAAGATGATGAAAGTGGAAATTAGAAACCGAATTGTCCCAGCTGTAATCAGCCTGTTAATGAGGCAATTCGAAATGTTTTTATTTACAATTAAGTAAGAAGTCAACTAAAGTGATGTTAATAAATCCAAAAACAAACAGTTTGAAGTAATACATATAAATGACAAGGTTTTTCTTTGAATCGGGACGGCATGATCCATCTACATGGTGGTAAAATATTTATTTTTTATGTCGTTTGCAGAAGGGCGGAGATATGTCGTTTTTATACGACAAACCTCCGCGTTGATCAACGGGGGAGTTATGTCGTAAAAAACCACATATTTTCGCGGAGATACATACATATGTCGCGCGGAGATCTGACACTATGGCAGCTAATAACGGCCCTTTTGGATGAGTTGTCCAAAATAGGACCAGAAACGACCCATCACGCCTGAATGCGGCCATTAAAGTCAAGGGCTATCATACAAAATACTGAAAATATCATTAAGACTTTTATGTTAATTATTAAAGACTAAATATAAAGTGCATCATTTAAGCTAGGTCACAGCTTAAAATTGGAAAATTTATTTTTTTTTTGTTATATTAACCCATTGACTTCTTCGTATGAAATAAACGATGTTCCTTTATTACACTGAATATATAAATCTATTATTATCCATTAAAATTTTAAACATACATAGCTCTTTACGTTCAAAAGTTACAGCCGAAAACATTTTTAAATAGGCTCTGCATCAAATAAGCTGTGAGCCACTGTAAGTTAAATGCAATAAATATAAATTGAGATTAGGAACAATTAGGAATCACATGTTCTCGCACACATACACATACACATACACATATACAAAACGTGATATTTTTTATAAAATGTGTTTTTAAATTGTTTATCATCTGCATTCGCAGACAATTGTGTCTTAGTTTGTCTATCAGTAACTTTCTATCTCTCTCTCTTACCTCTCTTCATCTTTCTTTCTCTGTCATTAGTTCAATCCTTCTCAATTTCTCTTCGCTCTCCCTTCCACTGTTAACAAAAGTAATATTTTGCCTAATTCTTTTGCCTCTCCTTCTGTAAAATTCAAAAGTCGAAGCAGTTGCAAGTAAAACGGAATATGCGTTTTTAGGAATTCGTTTGCAGTAGATGGCGAAGCTGCGCGCGACTTTTAAATCCAGGGGTGGATCGCCAAAATGTTTTTGTCTTCTGTTAAATGCACTACCATAAAGCAGTATTGAGCACCCTTGTTTTGTTGCTGAGCAAATAATCGGGTGGTTTGACACAGAAATAAAGGTAAGACAATATTTAATTGTTTTAAATATATTTAATACTCCATTACACCATTACTCATTTTTAGGATACATATTTTATAAAAAAAAACATAGGAAAAAAACAAGGAGGCTTGTTATACGCAAAGAATTACAACTTAAAAAACAAATTCAAAAGTGTGGCTTCAGCTGAGGTTAAAGATTGGTCGATTGAAACCAGAGAATTTTTAGAAAACGAAGGTAATTTCACATATATCTCTCTTTTAATTTCAATTGCTTATAATATTTGTATTGTTTTTCAGATGAATGTGAACTAGCAAAACTCTGGCTTCGCTACAATGTTGAGCCCATGAGCGAAGTCCTTGCCAAATGGAACAGCCTTTACGAAATAAGGCGATATTTTTTTCAATCTTCGGCGACCCTAGACGACATTTTCCTGTAATACCCAATTCTTCGCCAGTCGTTTGGACACGTTTTGGTAAGAGTTACAATTACTGTAATTCGCCTGATAAAAATTAAAATATTTGTATTTTTACAGGTGGAATCAGACTTCGCTCGCTCATTCCCAGGCAAGGATAAACTCCTCGTGGAAAACTGGGGTTATTTTAAAACTAAAATATTTCAAATATTTAATAATAACATATCAAGCAAAAATTGTTGTGCTCTCTTGCAAAAATCGAATTAGGAATCAAGTGGTAAGTCCAAATTTATATATTTATCAAGAAAAAAAGAAAACTTGGGCAAGCCGATAAGTATATGAACTACATTTTGGCTTTTATATTTTCAAAAATAATGAAGATGTCTAAACAAATTTTAAATAACAAACTTTTAAAATATACAATATAAAAAATTTTAATTAACAAAGTTCATTTTTTTTTTATTTTAATATTTCTATAAAATAATAATATTTTTAATAATATGTTCAATTTTTTTCATAGACGTGAAGGACGAGATTTGCTTTTTGCTACCAGCCCTGTTGGTACCTTTTAATAAAATTATGTAAATATTTAAAAGATGTATGTGTATACTAATAATAATATTTTATAAATAAATACAAAATTATTAAAACTAATTTTTTCAATGGAGTTTGATTTCTTGTTCTAAGAAAAATTATTTATATATTTTATATATATATATATTTTATTTTAAAAAATATTATTTATTATTTGATTAAAAAAAAATTTTTGTTTGAAGAAAGGAATAACCATTAATTTAATAAATAAACTTTCATCAAATGAAGGTGACTCGCCTTTAGTAAAAAATTCAATGACGATTTTACTAGATTTCAGGGAGAAATTTCTTTGAGTGCAAGGGAACAATAAAAATATTCAAAAAACCTTTGTTTTTTAATATATATATATATATATATGTCGAAGAACTAAGAGAAAAATTTAAAAACAGCAAAGCAATAATTTTTTTTGTATTTGTTTTGCGATTGTTCCTATGGGAGCTATATGACATAGTCGTTCGATTTTGTTGAAATTTAAATCGAATTTCTGAAATATTCAACCATTCCTATATGTCGAAGAACTAAAAAAAAAAATTAAAAAGCAGCAAAGTTATAATTTTTTTTTATTTATTGTTCCTATGGGAGCTAAATGCTATAGTCGTCCGACTTTGATGAAATTTAAACCGTAAATTGGAAATATTTTGATGAAATTTAAACCGTAAATCGGAAATATTTAACCATTACTAATTGTCGACGAACTAAACAAAAAATTTAAAAACAGCATAGTTATAATTTTTTTTTATTTATATTTTCGATTGTTCCTATGGGAGCTATATGCTATAGTCGTCCGATCCGACTCGTTCCGACTTATATACTACCTGCAATAGAAAGACAACTTTTGGGAAAGTTTCATGCAGATAGCCTTAAAACTGAGAGACTAGTTTGCATATAAACGGACGGACAGACGGACGGACAGACGGACATGGCTAGATCGACTCGCCTAGTGATGCTGATCAAGAATATATATACTTTATAGGGTCGGAGATGTCTCCTTCACTGCGTTGCAAACTTCTGACTGAAATTATAATACCCTCTTCAAGGGTATAAAAAGCAAGCCTTTGAAGTATTGAAATTTAATTGCATTAAATTATAATAATTAAAATATCGGAAATAAATTAAATAAAAGTAATGATTATATTATATATTTGCTAAAATTTTTATTAAACTTATTTATGATCTTTGCCACGATACTTTTGTTCTGTTGACTCCAATTTATTTGATTCCATCAGTATTTCGCTTCCTAGCAGCTCGAAAGATTGACTGTTTCTCCAACTCTTTCATTTCCCGTCGAAAGGCTTTCACCTCCTCCTTGGCCACAATTGAAAGGACACTGGGTGAGAGACAATCGTCCTTGGAGCCGAACAACTTCCGCACATCGTCGATCTCGAAACCCTTGAGCAGCACCGTCGATTCCATGGTCAGTAGAACCACTGTCACCGCCGAGTGATTGACTTTCTCCACAATCCAAGCCCGCTCATCGCTCACAGCATTGAGCAGTTTCTGGCAGATTGCATCCACCAGGAATTGCAGAGCTCGAAAGACGGGGAACCAAATGACCACCAATAGCACTTGTATTGTTAGACAAAGGAACGCAACCTCAAGGATTTTAGCCACAACACTTTGAATGATATTTAGGTTGTACTTCAATTTCAATTTATGCAGCAAAATTATGGCGAGAATTAAAAAAACAGTTGATTCCGTACTGGCCTCCACCGGATTGTAAAAGAGGCCTGTGCAATGGCAAAATATCGAAAAAAGCAGGGCACTAATAAAAGTGGGTTCCATTTTTTGTTTGTGTAAAAAAATTCAAAAATTTACAAAAGAACCGACAATTTTCCTCACTACTCTGTTGGATTGGTGTAGAATTGTCTATCACTTTTCGAAGCGGATGTGAATTTATAAACTTGGCCAACTTATGTTTGAACTTTTCTAATTTAATTTTGTTTTTTTAGACTTCCAACATTTTACTGGCAATCATCATTCAGTCATTCACTTTCAAAGCGTTTGAATGCTCTTGGAATTCTCCGCAAAAAAAGAAAATAATTTAATTTTAATTAATTTTTAAAAGTACTTTGCAACGTGATGCCGATTTCGCTAAGGAGTAGGCCGATAATGAAACGTGTAAGCTGTTGGGTGTATTAATAGTTCAAATAATATAGA